GTGCCTCAGAAATGCTGCGCATACATAGGTGGACTACACATCTCCTGCAAGTATTCCATCTCGTGTGTCTGCTCCCAAGATGTTTTTAGGTAAGTAAAAGCCACCTTTGTTAGGTAAGCTGGAAATTACTCTATCCTTCAGTGTAAAGCCTTGTTGAGGGGTAAGAAGCAGGTAACTGGCTTTCCAAGCTGGACTCAAATCTGTGTGTGACTGGCCAAAAGGTAAGAGCCCTTCAGCACTGAGTGTTTTGCCACTTACACAGCCTTTTCAGTGCAGAAATACAGCACTTCTACAAACCTGCCTTTTTGGTGCAAATAGAATCCAATCACACAAAATACCATGTACACATTCGAGAGAAAGTTCCCAAATTATAAGATTGAAAAAGAAACGGAATTAGAGGCATTGAATGGTTTTGATGCAGCTCTGAAAGCTGTGTGCAATTTCAAATTCCAGAGTCACTGCTTAGTTGGGAAATGGTCATTCCTGTGCAAGGGTGGGTCAGTCTTTACCATCAAATTTAAGGTTCTTCAAGGGATAGGGCTCACCCTACAGGACGCTACAAGTAGTGGGACATCTGGGATGAAGGCAGGGCATCCCATCAACCCTTTCAGGCTCCCAGATGGCTCTATGCTGCACATCCAAGAGGAATGGAGCCTAAAAGGAACATTTAGGGGGGTTGCAAGCATCATATTGTTGTAAACCTCCTCTCAGCATTCAAGAGATGCTCAGGAGTGAGAGCTGGGTACCTGGCAGCAGTGCAGAAACACAGGGGCTGGCAGGAAGAAATGCATGAAAGTAATCAGTGATGCAAAGGGGATGCTATTTGTTTGAAGATAACATGAAACCTCCTCCTCGGAGCAGCATGTCAGCCTCTCCAAACCACCCCACATGTGCTTTGCCAGATGCCATGGGCCAGCTTGCAAGCAGCAGACCAGTTTTCAAATAGCTTCCTTCCCACTCCTCTCCTCAGTGCCTGCTCCGTGCCAGCTGCTGGCTGGAGCCTCATCCCTTCCCACCCCATCCGGTACCACGTCAGTGATTAGCTTCCCACAAGCAAAGAAGAAAGAAACATCCTTTTTAAGCCTTGCATCTAGAGAACAAATCAACGTACTGTTGAGCTGTAATTGAAGCTCTCTCAACCTGTCACCATCACTGTGCTATAGATGGGACTCAGTGTTCACAAAGCTGATTTGCTTGTTGGAGCTGTTAAAACATCCTAATTATTCTAACCCCTTGCTGTAGCACTTGAATTCAAGTGTTTTACTCAGTGATTACCTAGGCTTAAGAGGCCAGAGGAGAACACGTCAGTGCTCCAATGAATCAGGGCAAAGACCTTTGAAATGCAGGCAGTGATATAGAAGAAAGTTTAGCTGTCTTGGGGGCTGGTGGTGCAGGCACTGAGCAGCTGTTCTCCCTTCCTTAGCACCTTAGTCACTCACTGCTCTCAGCCTCTTCAGGATTATGGACTCAGCCTTATGAGAAGCACAGCGCAAGTTCTTCATCCCATTTGGTTTAAAGCCTGCGGTGCCCAGAACAAGTAAGGAACAGCCTGCAGCTTCACATGGTAATGAGACACTGTAGAGCAGATCCTTGATCTCCCAATTCCTTGCTTTAAACAATAGTTCCTCCTCCTCTGTCCCCAGCACAAGCCAAAGACACCCTGACAGTCCAAACAGTCACTTGTCTCTGACCCAAAGGCATGTCCCTACCAAGCATCTCCATTCACGGCCAGCCCAACAATGGGCACCAGGTTTTTGAGTGCTTCTCCTGACCAAACCCCAGCAGAGACATTTCAAAATACCTGGTGAGTGCAACCACATTGCAGGAAAACTATGGAACTTCAGCAAGGAGCCTTGAACCCTAAACACTGAGGCTCCTTTAGCCCAAGATGGGTATCACAGTGTGACTCTTCCATCTGCTCAAGTGAACTGAGCAGGATGCCAAGGGAAATTGGGGAAATAAGGAAAGCTTCAGTCATTCCCTCCAGATGGATGTAACTCAGCAGTTCTCACAGCCTAGTGCAGTGCATCATTGAGGTAACAAAGGCTACTGACTATTTGAATCATTGACTATTTGAATCAATCTTGCTGGATTTGGTGCGTGGTTCCTTGGCTTTTCACATGCAATTAGCAATGTATAAGTTCCAGTAAATGATTTCAAATAAATCCTTACAGGACTAACAGAGAGCAGATCTAGGAATTCACAGTGGGGTGTTTGAAAGCCTAGGTTCAGATCATTATTTGGGGCCTTCATGGCCTCATTGTGTACCACAAGGCTTCATAAGGATACCATATCAGTTTTCCTACTGCAGATCATAGCCCCCTGAGTTGTACTGTAGTCTATGGACAGCCACACGAAGGCAAATTCTACCACAAAGTTATCAGAAGAGAGAAAGGGAAATCAAAGCTCCTCCATTTCTCAGCCATCAGAGGGCAGCCAGTGATGCCATAGATGCCACTGAACCCACAGCACACACACACTGGTTATGTAGAAGTATTAACTACTTAATCCCTAATCCCTGAAGTCATGTACTCAAAGACAGTTGTGTTTGGGGTTTTCCCCCCTAAAAACCTTCTCATTACACATCCCAAATCCAACCCTGATAGGTGACAACAGATTTAGCCCAGAAACCTTTCTCTTTTTGGAGCAAAATTCTCTTTTCATTGCCCTGCCCAAACTCCCAGCTATAACATGCTGAGGGAACAGTCACAGCCATCACAAGCATCCTAAAGCAGCAAGGAATTGGCCAAAAACTCCTAGGTGAGGCTAGAAAACAGACTGATCCCACACCTCTGGACAAGCTGTAACACCCAACACTGTTATCTGCTTTTCATCTGAACCCATATACTTTGTGTGTATTTAAGGTCTGCCAAACCCTGCTGAAACTGATTGCCAAACTCTCCCTTCTTATTTTCTACTGTAAGAAATGGAACTTGTCTATATGATGCTCCAGCAGCTTGGAGAAGGGATATTTTCCACTTGAACATGATTAATAATAATAATTAGCAATTGCGTGGTGAACTGCAGCTAACCTGTGATAACAGGTTTGTTGAGAAGCGATGATATGAGCATAGCTCAGAGCTAAGCAACTGCGATAACACCGCACATATTGCAACACACATGGGAATTGCAGCACTTGCCAGGTTTAAGGAGTTCATAACACTCTTTTCTATCCCAAATCACACAGAGCATCTACACACAAAACCTCCTGGTATCAGAATGTGCTCCACGGGCTGTAGCAAAGTTAAAGTGGATGGGACACGTTACCTGTTCCAGGCAGTCTTTTCCAAGTGGTACCATTTGTTAGTACACAGATAAAGCCTGAGCCAAGAACAGCTGAAGCACAGCTGGTTTCTGCACAGTTACTGATGTATTTCCAAACACAATGCCAGGAGTTAACACAAGGATTAAAGCAGGTAGTGGTACCTGTCAGAGCTGCTTAGCTCACACAGCGCACATGACTCCCTCCTGACTGTGCCTTGCACATAACATGAAACTAGGAAAACAATCCCAAGGTCACAGCCAGGGATCTTCTAGAGCCCTTTCAGCTCTGGCAAAGCCTGAGTGTGACACAGTAATGCTTTCTTGTTCCATTAGAGGCATTCACCTTTCAAAAGACCTGCTGTAGCAATGAGTGTTGCACTGAAATGTCGGTGCCCAGGTAGGTAGCCATGGGCTCTGCCTCAGCTCATTCACAGAAGAGGGGATTTTCCATCAGATTCAGACTTTCCAGCTCAGATTAATCCCCGTGGCTGCTTCTTTCCGTGTTGTTTGACTGATTTGTTTGTACTGTTCGGCTGCCATGGTTAAAGTGGTGTTGGTCACGGAGAGGCTGTTCACACCTCTGCCAAAATCCCAGTCATTGCATCACCTCCTCATGCAAAGTTCCTCACTTGCAGGCACCCAAGGCAAGAATTTAGAGCAGTCTATGAGAAGAACAGGAATGGGATGTCATGGTAACCTCCTGGCCTCATTACCACTGGGTTTCAGCTACAGGGCTCCTGGCATAGCTATGGGGATGCCCATCCAGCCACCTCTCCCTGCTATTTTTACTCATGAGATGACTAAACGAGGTGTGCTTTGGGTTTATTTGCTTGTGGCTTTTTGAGCGCGGCTTTGTTTGTTTTCAATTTCAGCCTGGGGGAATTTGGGACTCGGGAAACGAAGCTTAAAAGCTGAATGCGTTTGAGCGAAGTGAGCTGGTCGGGAGCAGATGGGGCGAACCGGCTTCACAAACGCTTGTGGGCGGCTCTTCGCAGTTATACGGCGGCGCGGCCGGCGGTTTACGGTACCGGTGTCTCCTAGCAGCCGCGACGCGCAGCGCACGGGGGTAGCCGGCAGCCCGTCCCGGGCAGGTAAGCGGGGCCTGGGGGCTCCGGTATCCCCGGTGCTGGCACCACCGGCGGTGTGTGCCTGGGTACCGGGGCACGGGACAGACTTTCAGGTGATGCTGCGCTTCCCGGGTGTCAGGCAGGAAACGGTGGACCCAAACCCTCGCATCTAGGGCAGCCAGACCTGCGGGGTGTCATGTTTGGGGTGCTGGCGCAGGGATGGTTGTCCCTGCAGTGATTTTTTTGGCTTTTGTTATATTGTTATATTATAACAATAATTATTATTTATATATATTATATGCAATATATGAATATATATTTATATTGTTATCGTTATAGGAAAGGCAGATTTGGCCTTGCTGAGGCTGCGCTGATGTTTTAGTTGTTAAGTAGTTCTTACTCTAAATCAAGAACATTTTAGTTTAATGCTCTGCCAGTGAGGAGGGCCACAAGGAGCTAGGAGGGAGCAGAGACAGGACACCTGACCCAAATTAACCAAAGGGATATTCCATATCATAGAGCATCATGCCCAGAATAATTTATTTGATACTTAACACACTATTCTAACTTCTACAATCCCCTAATTCAGCTCTCAGATGCCTACTGTAAGGTTTGATTCTTTGGTTAATTCTTCCACAGGCACATGTAGATGGATAACCTACTGAATCTCCAAGGAATAGAGCTGTCCCAGATCTTGGATTCGATTCCAACTGTGGTCTGCTGCTCTTAGAAGCGAAATCTCATCTGCAAGAACTGGCTGGCTTGATATAATGGGTACCACTATCTGAGTATTTAACAGTGGGAAGAAACCGTATGAACTATCCTGCAGGACCCCAGGGGGGTTTCAGCATCTTCCTTTGAATGGTGAAGTATCACAGGGACTAGCAGAAAAGCTACATTAAGCTCAATCAACTCTTGCAGTGCATTGCTAACATTAGAGTCAGTAGCCACCAAAGTTCAAGCATTCACTCCTGTCTTCTAGGTGGTCAAAACACTGAATGCCTCATCCAGGAGGGTTCTGATACAGAGAACAACTCACCTATTATATCCGCAGCTGACCGAGATGTCATCATGGTTCCTAGATCTCTCCACTTGCCCTCTAGTGTCAACCCACCCAAGGACTTAATCCGCTGCCTGCCCCCTCATCTGTCCACGTACATCCTGGGTAAAGCTGCTCTGGTTTTGGTTTCCCTGAAGAGTAATGAATGGTGTCCCATGTGCTCAGGGGTTAGTCAATATGTGCCTTGAATTCCTTAGGGCTTTTGGATCAGAAATCCCTCACTTCATGTGCTGCTGTGAGCAGATGCTGGGAACATCTGGCCGCACAAGTCAAGAAGGAACGTGCATGTCATAGTGTAATACAGGAGAACATCGTGTATTTGCAGGTATGAGGCATGGGCTTCTGCTGTTGTTACACGCTTTAAAACTTGGTGTTTTTCTATTACTGCCCAAGCCATTGGATGAAGCTGCTTTTGCTAGAGGTTATCTCTCACTCTGCCTTGTTCCTTCTTCCTCTACCTGCAGAGCTAAGGCAGATGAGATGCTCAGAGTGTCACAAGTGATCACAACAGAATAGCTTTTACTGACTTTGAGAGGCTGTGACTCTAAAAACGGATTAAAACATTCCTGTAATCAGGAAGAGTTTGGTCCCAAATGCAAGTACTGGACTTTCAGGAGCTAATGGAAACTGGACAGAGCTACAATGGCTCCCTGAGGCACCTCAACAGTTAGCTTTATTTGCTCCCCATAGGAAGATGGGAATGCTAGGTTTCCTTGTGAGAAATCAGAGCTGGTGGTGGGGATACAATAAAGCAGAACTTTTAGGAAAGGCTTGTCCTGCTTAGAACAGTCCTGCCACACACCAAGCTAAGTGTGATGGTAAATCCCTAAAGAGACCACAGAAATCTCAGCTCTGTGCTAGCCTTAAAAGAAGGCTGAATGAAAGGTTTTACACAGTTAAAATGAGTCTTAAATATTGATAAAGGTGATTTGAGAGCCTCTCATCTCAGTGGGTTTGGATTCTGAATCAACTGAGTGCTCACCAAAGGCGAGATGCCGCTTATTAAAAGTTTAAGACTAACATTTAGAGACAAATGGAAAGTAATGATTTTACCCAGAAGTTAAATCTACCAACAAAGTGGTGAATGCAAGCCAGGTCTCTTACACAACAGCAACAAGCCACTGTGTGCAGAGCTGCTTTGCATCTAGCATCCAATGGAAGCACTGACACATGAGTAGCATCCATTGCATACATGGGCTCTGTAGTAACTGTGCTGTCTCTGTTGGTTTATTCCAGGGCTTGTGCCCAAGAGGAGCTGTTTCAAACTATGCTAAAATAGTCAAAGTGGCAATTCCACAGTTAAATGAAGAGGGTGATGTCATTGAAGCCAAAAGCGCTGGTCGGCAAAGTAAAATGAAGGTACGTTGGAAGTTGTTGGTCTTCCGTGGATCCTGTGTTTCAGTATTTGGGGAGGAAGGTGGTGGCTTTGGAAGACAGGACAGTGAATTTGGAATTGCTTCGCTCTTGTCCAGCTCCTGCTCCTGGTTTGTCCCATCACGAGCAATTCATAAGGACTAGTGCTTGCTCAGCACCTTCTTGCATCCCTGAACTCCTGCCTTGTCCTAATGCATCCCCCAGTGCACAGGCTTGAAGATGGGGTGCTGGCACATCCATTATAAGGATGCAGCCTTTCTCCAAAAGAATAAAGGGTGCAGCAGTTGGGTCTTCCTCTTTTGCCACAGACCATGGCATGGGAACAACACTTTTTTCTGCGCTAACCAGACGTTTGTGCACTCTGGGTGCTCCTTACCAACACTTTCTCTTTCTGGTCTCATCACGACAGTATGGACAAGCTGATATGTTTCATACTATGGATAATATTGCATTCCTCTTCCCTGAGTTACTCTCCTATTTTCCTTTTCATTAGGAGAAGGGAAGCAATCTGCAGGAAACCTATAATGGTCTGAAAACTGACACAATCCAGCTGGAAGAGAGAAATGTCTTCTGTGGCTCCTACAATATTCGTATCCTCATGGACCAGTGAGTAAACTGCCTGGCTGTAGGGCTGAACGGCAGCGTCTGAAAACCTGTCCCATTCCTGTGACCCTTCTGTGAGAATGGACGGTTGGAAAAGGGTCTTTCAGCATCAGTGTTAACAAGTCCTAACTGTCAAACCCAGGTTTTTATGCAGATACCAGAAGTGTTAGTGATTTACAGTGTATCACAAGGGATATGGGGCCAGGAGGAGCCCTCTCCCTTCTTTAAGCACACACTCTGGATGCAAACTTGGGTATGAAGAACTAAGGACCCTGGTTGTTGTGCCTGCAAAGATACACCACTTAAGTGTATTGTCCATTGCGTTGTTCAATGAGGACCACTAAGCAGCAGCCCTAGATCTTGTACTCATCTCAGTCACTATTTCTTATCCAGATCAGACCAAAGCAGAGTAATCCATTACAGTGGTGGAAACTTGGTAGCTGTTGCCTCTGCAGATCGAAAAGTGAGGTTTCTTGGAATGCCAGGAATAAAGGAACTGCCTCCTCTGCTGTCTGGCCATGCCGGGACCATCAAAGCACTCTATCTCAATGAGGAGAAGGGGTTTCTTCTCAGCGCAAGCTTCGATCTCAGCATCAGGTGAGCAACGCTGGGACTGTGCCATGGGACACCAGCCCTTGGGCTAGGAAATATGAAACTTTAATCCTCCCACTCCAGTCTTTAGGAATTCTCCTTTCACCGCTTTTCATTAGAGTAATGAAGAAACGACAGTAGCTATAGAAACACATGCCCCACTCACACAGGACAGCTTCAATTTCCCTATTTCCACCCAATACCGAGTGATAAGAAAGGAAAATACAGGGAAGCACGGGCTTTCTTAAAGTACCTTAAAACACCAGATATGTTTTAAATTAACCCTTGCAGGGAGATTCTGACCTTGCTAATGTCAACATCAAGTTTAGGGAGGCTGGGTTTCTCCATGCCATTCCAGAAGGCTTGTGCTAAAGCAGGCTCAACACCCTGGTACCTGCTGTACAGCTACTTCTTTCTAGGTATTGCACGCTGAAACAAGGGCTGGAGATGATCAGCTCTCACATTTATCACTAAATCCTGACAGGATCATGATGAGGGGTGAAAAGCAAAGCAGTAGTTTGCCTGGCTCTGCATGGCAATCATACAGCTTCAGCAAAGGCAGCATTTAACAGAAGGGTTTACACCCATTCAGGCTCTCTCCTCCCTGCTCCAAAAGGGCTGCTTGTGTGAGCTTGGGTTTGAGCTCTCTAGGTAAAGTCAATAGCAATCATCTTGGCACCAGGCAGTAAATAAACAACCTTATCTTGTAAAGTTCTACTCTTTAAGGTTAACTGAATGTAACCATGCCAAAGTTGAAAACTAGCCACATGCTTCCAGGCCGTTTAGAGGCTGAAGAACACAGTATATGGGTAAAAACTTACCTGAATTGATGATTCCAAATCCTCTGATACGTTGGTAAAATGACTTCTGATTTTAATCCTGTGTTTATGGAAGAAAAGCTGGTCTTATCAAATAGGAAATAATTAACAAGATGAATTAGCAGTTAATTAAGTTAATTACCATATTCCCTTTTTGATTGGTTCTTTGTAGATGCTGGAATCTATACAGTGGTACTTGTGTGAAAACCTTCAATGGCCACTGTGGGACAATCACCTGCTTGGATTTACATGAAGAGCAGTTTGTGTCAGGAGCCAAGGATGCAATGGTGAAAGGTGAGAGCCAAGACTAGAAGCTTCCCAGCCAAAGGCAAACAGCAGCAAACAAGGGGCAGAGTACATGGGAGGTGTGAGGAGCATGACACATGAAGTGTGTGAGTATGAAACTAAACCTATAAATCAGAGGGTGAATTTTAGTGCCTCATTCTTCCTTCCAGAACAGCTGAAGCTGTGGACATAGGCTCACACAAGGTCTCTAATCTATGTCATTGAATAAATTCTCATTGTTATTGCTTCTGTTCAGTTCTGTAGCTATGGGGCTGGACCATCTTTTGGGCAAGTAATATTAATTTTCATCTTTGCCAGCTGTTTTGCTTATAGAGTAAGGATGAAAAAGTTGTGTTATTTTGCTGAACTTTGCATTTAAAATGCTTCTGCCATGCAATTACACTTTTTAAGTCAATACTTGGCTCCCTGCAGAGCTGCAGCTACAAGGTGTAGCTGTAATTCCAATAGTGTCTTTTAATTCATGTTGTACTCAGCAAAACTTATCATTGGCATATGTAGCTAATATTTTTCTCCTTTGTCCCTAACAGTGTGGAGCCTGGAGAGTGGGAAATGTCTCAAGACTCTGAAGCACAACAGTGCTGTTGGGGTGGTTAAAATGAATGGCACCCATATTGTCAGCGGGTCTGACCAAGGGCTGGTGAAGGTCTGGAGTGCTGATACTGGAGCTCTGATCAAAGTAAGTTTCTTCTTAGGTGGATAATTTTGTGCTAAATGGTCAAAAATCTTCTGTGCTAGTTTATCATAGCCTTTTGCTTTTGCCAAAGGCTTTGGACTGCTTTTGGTTTTGGGAATTTCATAAACTGATAGAACTATCCATGAACTGCAGAACTATTTGTAAGCAAATAGTCAGTTTTAACCCAGGGTTTGATTTGCTTTGCTTAACCCCCATCATTGCTTGTTCTGTGAAGATACATTAATGTCTGCTCATGTAGAGACATTCAGAACCTGGGAAGAGGGTGGGAGGGCTTGTCTGACAGCTTTTGGGGGTTTGGAGGTACGATGGGTTAGCCCAAAAGATGAGATTTGCTCTCAGAATCAGTTTATAATGCTGAAGCAGCTGGATAGATGCTCTGCAATGGGAAGATTGAGGGTAGAGTCTGCTAATTACTTTAGCATGTGCCCAGAATAAGTATTAGTCCACATTTGAGAGGAGTGAAGCTCTTTCTACATGTGGGGAAGAGTTGAAAATTGCAAGATATCCCAGCTCTGGCTGAGCTAAGCTTGCAATTGCCCATTCTACTATAGTCAGGACAGTCCACTCTCATTTCTCCTGGGTTAACAACCAAGAGATCACAAAGGTCTCAGTTCATTAACATCTATTTAATGTAAAAAAGACAGAAAATCAATGTTAATTCCATGCTAGCAAGCCCAGAACGCTTCTTATGAGTGATTATAAAACTAACACAGTTATCCATAGGGTGTATTGGTATAATAACACCCAATAAAACTACAATGCAGTATATAAGGCTGTTTTTTCTTGGTATACTTAAATCCAGATTGCTGACAGTATTGCACCTATTTCTATTTCTTTGCAGATACTGGAGGGGCACCAAGGCCCAGTTAAGTGCTTGTCCTTTGATCAGTGGCATCTAGTCACAGGAAGCACTGACGGATATGTCCTGGGATGGAGCATGTTGGGAAAACTTAAGAGATGCCTCGTAGCTTTCCGCCACCCTAAGTAGGAATCGGATGTGTTTCAAGTTGTATTCAACAGTTTACTAAATTTGTTCCCTTATAGGAACACAAAATGTCTTAACTATCAGTCCTAGTATTTGAAATATCCTTGTTTTCAGTAGTCTTCATCTTAAAACCAGTGTCAGGCATACATGGTCACAACCAGCATGTGTCAGTTAAGACAGCAACGTAAAATGCAAATATACAATCACTTGCTCACAAGCAGGGATGACTTAAGACTGACAGTGCATAGTCCACTATTTTGAGGATCTCAACCTGTACACAACAGGGTATCACACTATCATTTACTTTCCTAGACATAAAAATGAAATCTGAAATGCAGCAGATGGCTATAACTGTACTGGTTCCTATGAGGGTATGACGGTTTGGTTGGTTTGGACAATGGATTATGAAGGGCTTCACTATTAGACCTCTTATATATCTTGATCAGCTCCTCTGTTTAGCCTGTTGATGGAGGCAGACCTTTGCATCTCCTCCAAGACAAGAGCTATTTGATGGTGCCTCCTTGTGAAAGGATGGTGATGTGCTGTGTTTTTCAGTGAAGTCCTGTCTCTGGAGTTCCTCTATCTCAGAGTCCTCAGTGGTTGTGCTGATGGAAAGATCCGTATATTTAATTACTTGACTGGAATCTGCCTGAAAGTGTTGGTGGCCAATACCAAAGGGGATCCCATATCTTCTTTCTGTATTGGAGGAAACAGGTTGGTGACAACTTCTGCCATCAGTCTCTGAACCATATTAGGTAGATTACATTGTAATGTAAAGAGTTCTGTATTTTTTCCTTTTACTGTCCTTCTCACAAGTAAGTTTTAAAGGGGTTTACTGCTTATTGACTGCTTTAATAATCTGGTTTTTATAACAATGGCTGAAAAGAGATTTTCTTAGTCCACTCAGCAATGTACCATTTCCTGTTTCTATAAAAATTGAAATATAGATGCAACTGCAAAGCCAAACTCTGAGCCCAGATTCCTTAAGAGGTAGGAGAATCAAGCCAAGGCTTGACAGAACCTTTGCCTGTACCTGACCTACTGCCTCTTTAAAAGGCAATAATGGAAAATCCTTCCAGGTTCTTTCACTTGGACCTCTAAACTTAAAGGGAGTTCCCAGCTTCTGTGTAAGCTATAACTAGAACTCTGGTGTGTCATCAATGCTGTTTTGGTCACGATTCTAAACCAGAGCAATATATGGGCTGCTACGAATAAAACTAACTCCATCCCAACCAAACCCAGTACACCCCTCCAATTTAAGTTTAAATGTCCCTAATGACATGGCATCCTCAGTTTCTTTTGGCATTGCACTGATCTAGCTCAGTTTGCTGTTGGCAATTTTCATCCTAATTATTTTAAAACTAATTTTGCTGTAGAGTGGAATGAAAAGAGCCCCATAGAGCTCATACAGAACATGAGTTAAAAGCTTACAGCATCTGACTGATGGGACTAATTGCTATTGCTCACTTAGAAGAGTGATGGCTGTCTTGGATCTGTTTAAGGGTTTTGAATTGCACAGAAGCAAAATGGGACCCTTGGGTAGTAACTGCTCTGTTAATGTTATCTATGCTCTTATGGGCTTTTCTCTCCCTTCTCCAGGATGGTGATCAATTCATCAAGTAATCTGTTGCTGCTTGAGTTTGAGGAGACCAGGTGGGACTATACCTTAGATGCTGACAGAAAGGTGGTGGGGAAGAAAAAACAGGACAAAGGGACTTCACGCAGGAAATCTGTTCAGCGAGGGAGGCACCGCAGTGTCAGTCAGCAGCACCGACCTTCCTGGGAGAGAACAGACCTTGATCTGCATTACTTCCAGCCACCAAAAAGCTCTGGAACATCTCCAAGTATTACACACAGCCTCTGCAATACACTGCTATTCTCTAAAATGAGTTAGAAATCATTTCAAATAGTCACTGCCTTCATCCTAATACTCTGCTTTTCTTGAAGTGCAATGTGGTAGATGTGCTGGTGCATTTCCATGATTCTGTTAATTTTAGTCTTTTATAAAACCTTTGTACCTTTTAAGAAAGGTCTGCTATAAATTCAATGTGTTTGTCAAAACAGGCAGTGCCATTTTCCAACTGAGTAATAGAGAAATCAGTAGTATTCATTCTTACAGCTGGTGTGCATGGAAACATGCTGCTGATTCAGTGCTTGAATTCTTTATTAATAAAGACTGTAGAAAGTCACAGCACACCTGCATTTGGGATCTGCCATCACCAGGAACTGCAACTGCACATAAACACACGCCTCTTAAATTATAACAATTATGTATGTCCTTTATTTTCAAATCAGAGTTAGTTAATACAGGATGGATCACAAATCTTTCACCTCTACAAGCTGTACATTGCAGATAAAATGATGGGTTAAAGTTTCCATGCTTTTAAAGGCATCAGCTGTTAACCTCATTGGTGCAGCTCTACTTGGTAAAAGATGCACAGTTTGCAGAAACAGGAAACAAACAGGGACTGCATTATATTTTAATTTTGGTGGCAAATATTATGGGTTGTGTATACATGATATTCTTTAAAATCACTGTTTGCTGCCATCTTTGGATTGTGTGGTTTTCTGCTTATCAAATATCTTTGGATTTTTTTCTAATACCTAGACCTTTAGAAGCTGTGATAAGAGGCAAAGCAGTAATTGAAGCCTTGACATCCCATCAGTTATGTTGATTTCATTAAATAAGTTTCACATCAGCAGAGTTTAGAGATGACTTACTCTTCTGTTTTCTAGCTCCTTGGTATGAACTGATGACACCAGCAGCTCACCAGCAACAGCAGCCTTTTCACATTCAGGCAGAGCAGCAGAAAAAGCTTTTCATCTCTTGCACCACAGAAGCCCTGGAAAAGTCAGAGAGACAATATTCTGCAAGGATCCTGGCAGATGATGGTAAGAACAGAAGCTTCCTAAGGAAACTGCTTTAGATCAAGCAAATAAACAGAGGCTCTAAGCTCTAGCTATAAGGCTTTGCTCTCTGTTATCTAGGGGTTTTTGTTGTATCTTTATTCTATTTTGATTGCTTTATCAGGTGTAGGAGAATTCTGCATGAAACTTTTTCAAGTACTTGGTGTTCAAGCAATAGCAGTAACTCAGAAAACTGGTTTAAAAAAACCCTGTATGTAAATTGTCTCAGCTAGCAAAATGCTGCAATCTGAAACTTGAAATAGTCCTGAGATCAGTCTGTGGCATATGGCATACGTCTCCTTAAGGTAGTTTTTCTCAGGTTTTAGATATAGAATCTGTTGGGATCTCTAACACAGACTCTGGTATCAATTGGTATCTGTACCAATTGTAAATCCCTAACCCCAAGCTCCTGGTGTTTGTAACTAAGCTGCAGGGTCATATGTATGTGCTGATTAAACAGTTCTAAATCCTGTGAATGAGGAACAAGCAGTGATTTTCATTAGCTTGTTGTGCTGTATTCTGCCTTTCTGCACTGTAACTTAATGCTCTCTAAAACGCATTCCTAGAGGGCAGAAGTTTGGGCTAACCAGTCTGGAAAAACATAGCTGTACTGCAAAGCAATGATACACAAACAATGTGACACTGTGAAGTGGCAAATGAATTGCTATGGCAAGGCCATGGGAGTAAGTGTCTTACTCTGTGTTGCAATCCTCATCTGGTTCTTAGTCAAGGGCATAATTGCACTACTTATCTTGATGTGTCTGTCATACAGCACAGCTCCCTCTCTATATCCCTTGAGGGAGCAAAGTCAGGCTATGAAGCATGTCTTGTGATTTCAAATTCAAATGCATGTCTGAGTAGTAATGGTTCAAGGCGTTCTCAGATGCTGGCTACACCAAAGATTTCTACTGGGAACTGACTTGTCTTGAAGCCTTTTCCCAAAGCAGACTGTAGGACAAGGAAGGGGTGCATGGAAAGAGGTAGTGAGGAGCCTCATTCCTTTCAGAAACCATTGTTTCTAACAAGATGGATACCAATGCAGCCACAAAGTGCAATGTATGTTACAGAATCTGACTTCAGTTTGCCCCATACAGGCTCTGACAAGGAACACTTTTCAGTTAATTCAGACAGAATTACCTCTGGCAGTTTTACTAGTGAGGCCAAGGATGAGTTGCCTGAAATGGGCACCATTGGCTTGTAGCTTCCTATGCTGCCTGCTCTGTAGATAAACTTGGACTGTCTATATGCAGGTCAATTCAGCACTCATTCCTGGTCTTACTTTGAGTACTACCCTGCCAACAATGATCACAAAACCCATCCTCAACTCCAAATGTATCGTTTTGTTTTGGAAACAGATGGCAAAGCTGAACATGCCTCTGACAAGGCAGAAGCTACTTTGCAGCATGAAAGGAAAAGAGACTCAAGACGTACAATGTCCCTTGACAAGTTCCTCTTAAGGGTCAGCATGCTGCAGAACACCTGCAAGCCAGCCCTGGACAGCTCCAGCACTGAGAATGATGTGAAAGTCAGAGAAGCATGGGAACCTCCTCTAGAGCATCAGTACCATGCAAAGGTACAGAAAGACAAAACTCCTCTGCCACACAAAAGGGATCAGACAGTGCTGCTCCAACGTGCGAGACAGCACAGTGATTCCCTGACTGTGAGAACAGTTTCTGTCCCTTTTGAAACCAAAATGCTGCAGCTCAAGCTGAAAAACTCTTTGTATGGACCCACTGTGAATTCCTCCATCCCTGCTCCTTCTGTGGTACGTCCCAAGACTCGTGATTTGCTGCAGGAAAAGAAAGCTCACAGTGGTGGTGGTAAAGCCATTTCTTCCGCAAAAGAAGAGGTTCACGTCGCCAGTCCCTTTGCAGCTTCTTCTCAACTGATCAAATCAACACGGGTGATCATTGAACAAATGAAAAACGAAGCATTTCCGATGAGAAGAAAGTCCTTCTGCCCATATGCTGCAAGCTCCTCCCAGAGTGATGGGGAATTCAGGCTTCTGACAGGGAAACAGAAGGAGGTGTATGAGGCAGCTGCTGTAGCACAGTATCAGGCACACCAGGAAAAGCTCAGAGAAGAGCAGCAAAGAGCATGCAAGAAGGCCTGGTTAAGGAAAATTAAAGGCTTACCTATAGACTATTTTACTGGGGAGGGGAAAATACCTGCTCCTGAACTTGGGTTTAATACATTTCTTTGAGTTTAAGGGATTATCTCCAGTGTAAGTTTTTCCAATGTTATTGGTACATTCATCTATTTCCCAAGGCAGCAAAAGGACTTGAGTCCTCTCCTATATGTTAGACCTGCTGTTGCTACAAGCACAGCACTGTTTGACGTGAATACAGCTCAACATATGCTGCAACTCTGACTAATAATAACAAAAATCTTATTAGAGTTCATGTGGATTGATTAGATTTATAAGCTGAAGAAGTGTGGACTGAAAACTGGCTGAGGATTTGATCTGAGAGGGTGGTGACCTCAGCATTAGTCTACTGGGAGGCCAGTAACTAGTGGTGTAGTACAGGGGTTGATACTGGGCCTGATTTTAACATCTTTAATTGATAATATGAATGATGATGATGCAGATGACACTGAACTGGGAGGAGTGGCTGATGCACCAGCTTGTTGCTGCTGTCTACAGGGACCTAGAGGGGTGGGCTGAGAGATCTGGTGCAGTTCAACAAAGGGAAATGCCAAGTTCTGCCCCTGGGGGAGGAACAGCCCCAGGCACCTGGATGTGCTGGGGCCACCCAGCTGGAAAGCAGCTTAGAGTTTAATTTGTATTAAATTAGAAACCATTACTTTAATTTCTCTGGTTTTATGGATAAAATGCCTTAATATGCTTGAATTCCACTAATGAAATTGGCTTGAGTTGGGAAGACAAATACCTTTCTAGTTGTCTAACTGCGAATATATGGGCCAGCACAGCAGAAAATTCTCTGTTATCCTCTTGTGTTGAGGACAATCCTGCTCACAGGTAAGACAGGGGTCCTTTCTGCAGCAGTTCTGGGTTGAGATTATAGTCTGGTTAGTTTTGGTTTGCTTATTTTAATGCCGCCTTCCACTCCTAAACTCTGGGATTAAGCCAGACCTTGCTAACAGTGGACAATAAGTTGTCTGGGGTGGCTTTGCCTTATGTTAGTTTTCATATTTAAAGCAGCAAGGATTTCACTCTTAGCCACGGGATGGCACTTTCTCACAAGAAATCAGGCTTAGCCCAGCACAGCTGCAGCCAGAGACCCTTTGGCACAACCCCTCTGGAAAAAAGCATCTAATACAGAAGTCTGATGGAAAAACATCATGGAAAGGCTGATGCCTTTCCAGTTGTGCTGAAATGAGGAGGATTAAAGTGTCATCATCTTATTTGGAGTCAATAAATCAGCATCTGCCTGCAAGCATGGGTTCTCGGGCTCTTGTGACACGCTACAGCCAACAGACTTGTGTGAAACCATCTACAAAGGCAGAATTGGACCAAGTCCTTCTCTGATCTGCTTTAGCTTGGCACGGGGAATGCAAAGCCAGAAGCTGGGCATCAGAGGTGCATTGGAAAGGAATTAACATCTGGGAAGATGTCATACATGGTACGTGAAGTCACTTATGAAGGTAACTAAGAGGTGGTTTTACTCTGTATTAACTCACTTCTAAATTAAACTGACCTTTCGGTGTGCATAGCCTTTGGGTGTGCAGAGGAGACAGCCTGAGGCTGCGGTGGGCAGCATTGCTCTTGTGCAGGATGCACCTGCAAACAGGTGGCAAGCCAGGCTGAGCAATGGCATGGTAGTTTTAATAAGAGTTTTGTTGTAACTAGGTGATGTTAATGTTGTGCTTGTCATCCACAAAGTGTAGATAACATTATCCTGATGTGATGACATCGCGTTAACGTCGCAGCGATTTTGTCTGTATAGCTCGACAGGTGCTTCTGAATTAAATATGCTTTGAGAGTGTTGGTTATAGCTAGGAGTGTTTGTATTTCAGCAGAGGAATGGTGCCTGACAGGTCACAACGTGAAGGAGCCACAGAGTTATAAAAAGAGGTGACAGCAGGGCCATAAAAAGCAAATTAAGTGTTTAAATAGTGTTGTATTTATCAGTAATAGCTTTGGATTGCCTGTGAAATCGCATGCTGACTTAAGCAAGGATTGCATATGGATACATCAAGGGATGGGCTAGTCCCCAGAATCATTAAATCCGAGTTAACTACATAGTCCTTCAAGAATACATCAGCGGCCAGATCCACCCAGCAAGCAGTTATAGCTGGAACCAGCTATGGTAAGAGTGATCCTGAAAGGGAGAGACCCGTTTTGCTTCAACCAGGATCAAGCCATGCTCCTTCAAACAGGCGGCAAGTAATAAAGCAATGTTGTGCCTCATTGCACGGCAACCTCTCCGTCCCCCTGTACTCGCCAGAATAGATGGAACAACAACTGGAAGCAATAATCCTATCGTTAACTTTGTCGCCTTCCTTTCTCAATGTCGCGTGAAGTCACTCATTCCTTCCCTAATGAATGTGTCCTAAACTGCTCACATACATACCCCGCTGGGCAGCGTGTTTGGGATGAGCTGTCTAAAGATGGGTTTCCTCAGAGACCTTCAGCCACCGACGGATCCTTGCGCCTTGCTGATGGCTGCAATGGGCAAATATAAGACCAGGGCGTTGTGAACTTGTGGGTTTCTTGTGGGCTCTGTGCCTTCCCTTCAGACTTTATAATCCACTTTATTTCCAGTGTGGCGGCTCAGCCTTCCCTTGTTCTACAAATACTGCTCTCTTTGAGGCTTTTCCAGCACATTTTCTAGGGTATATGGTTAGTTTTGTTTGGTTTTGACCTGTGCCAGAAACAGAGGAGGCCACGGAGCTGCTGCGAGGGCTGGAGCCGCTCTGCTCTGGAGCCAGGCTGAGAGAGCTGGGCTGGGTCAGCCTGGAGAAGAGAAGGCTCCTGAAGGGGAGACCTGAGAGCAGCTCCAGTGCCTGAAGGGCCTGCAGGAAAGCTGGAGGGGGCTTGGGACAAGGGCCTGTACGGACAGGCCAAGGGGAAGGGCTTCAATCCCTCGGAGCAGCTGCCCGCCATTACCGCCCCCACAGCGACCAGGGCGGGACTACGGCCGCCACGTCCCGCGCTCCGCCCCACCAGCGCGCAAGCGTGAACGGGGCGGAGCGTGCCGCGATTGGCTCTGCCGCGGTGACGCGACGCGGCAGGCGGAAGTGAGGGAGCTCCGGCCATGTTACGGCAGGTGAGGGGCCGCGGCCTGGGGCAGAGCGGGGCCGGGGGAGCGGGGCGGTAGCGGCCGCGCACCGGTGGTACGAGGTAGGGCTTTGCTTTCTGCTGTCACAGGCCTGTGGACCCGGAGCGCCGCAGAGAGTCGGTCGTGAGTCGGTTAAAAACGCCCGGAGGGGATATGAGGGGTTGGGGGGGTGTGGGGTTGGTGTTCTCCGGCGCTGCCCTTAGCGGTGCCGGCTGGAAGGTGCGGGGCAGGGGGAGAGCCCAGGCAGGGCTGGTGCTGTCGGTGTGAAACCAACCGGCTCTGTGGCCGGCCCAGTGCGTTCCCTGGGAGGATGCAAGTCTCTTGGTTGGCATAGGAATAGCTCTGTACAAGGTAGCGCGTCCTCTAAGAGAACGAGGAATAAAAGACCTTAGGCTATAGCGTTAACTGTCCGGTTGTGTAAAGTACGCTGGGTCTCACACTGTGAGCTTCTGTAGCTTTCACAAAGAGGAAATCAAAACATTTAATGCTGCATTGTTTTGTATGTGGATAAATCTTCGTGTTCTTCCCGAATTGATCTTGATCTGAAGGTGGTGTTGTGACGTTCCGGGTAATCAAAAGTGTACCTGCTTGAAGCTGAAAACTTACTCTCTTTCCTCTCATAACTCTTTGTGTCTCTTTTGTGCTTCAGGATAGCAGTGATGACATCGAAGATGTGTCTCTCTTTGATGCAGATGATGATGTATCCAGGAGATCAAAAAAGTCCAAAATAAGGTTAGTGGCCATGGAATTTTCAGATGAGCTCTAGGCAGAAGCACAGGGAAGGAGGGGCTGCCACGTTATATCAAATTATGCCATATGCCTCCTATTTGGAATAAGTTATTTGGCAGTAACAGAGAGTAATTTCTGGGTAGTTGAGAGGGCCAGTTCCAGAAGCTCAGTTGGAATGTGTAGATCCGTGCCTTTGTGCTCCTGGGTGCCCTCACGTTTAATATGTGTCTGTGCTCCTGTGTGGAAGGAATCCACACAGATCTCCTGTGTAATGGGAGGTTCTCCCTGTGTTGAGGGCTGGTTCTGGGCTAGTTTCTTATCTCCTTCCCACTCTTATGTTGTGTGCTGCCCTGCTGTCTGCCATGTCCTGGTGTAGTTGGTCCAGCTGCCTCCTTCCTTGTTGTGCCTGGTCTGCTACCACAGAGCAGTGTCCATACCCATGTGCTTGGCTCTGTGCTGCATGCTTCTGACCTGGGATATTGCAGAAATGAGGCAGAAAGGCAAGTCTGCTGTGGTGAGAAACGTGATCTTCCTTTCAGAGGTATTTCCTCTGTCAGAGCCTTTTTAAACTCACCCTGTAAAAATTGTCTCATGTTGAGCGCTGGGTATCTCATCTCCTTCCACCTCAGTTCTGTCTGCATGTGGAACGTCAGGCAGGTAGAGAGTGTCTTCCTTATGGCGATCTTGTAGTCAGCTTATTTCCCATATTCCCAGCAGTCACTGCACACTGGGTTTGTGTTACGATGCTGATCCTTATCCTGTGAGTTGGCAGGAGATCACTTGGTAACATCATTTCTCTGGAATTGCTTCAGTTGTCTTGTCTGAAAGAGCTGTGACTGTGTTGTACTTCATTCCAGGCATCCCGTGGCATCATTTTTCCACTTATTCTTCCGAGTCAGTGCGATCGTTGTCTATCTGCTCTGTGAGCTCTTAACTAGCAGCTTTATCGCCTGCATGGTGACAATTATCCTCCTCTTGTCGTGTGACTTTTGGGCTGTAAAGGTAAGTTCCTCTTTATGTTTTTTGTTACCTTTTTCTTAGTGTATAAGAATAATTGAACAATGATACTTTATGGGAAAACAAAAAGTTGCTTCTTTGGGCCTTCGGCAGAAAATGCCCAAAATACCCTCAAGTGCTGTGATGTATTTCAAAGACTTACAAAATAAGAACTTTTAAATCTGTGTACCTCATTTCTTTTTGAAAATCAAATGAAGAACATAGATTAGTTTTTCTTTTACAGATTTCATTATCAGATCACTTTCAAATCACCAGAAGTACACCTCAC